AGAACACCTGTGGGACTGGTGCCATGCTTGGGGAACACCATTCTGTTCTATCCCCAGCCCCTAAAGCCCTGCAAAAGCAAGTTCGGTCCACTTTTACAGCTTAGGAATTCAATCTGAATTTGCAATGTAGAGTGACTCGCTTAGGACTGCACGGATTCAGGGAAACTGAATTTCCACACACGACCGTCTGAGGCCACGTGATCAGTGTTTCCACCCAGCCACGGAGGTCCCCTGGGAGGGGCATGTATGAAGGGGTCCTTGGTGTGTCCTGGGGGTGTGGGAAGGACTTGGATCTGGAGAAATCTGAGGAGCTAGAGTAGTTCAGGATGTGCCCAGCTGTGGGGCCAGAACACAACCCCGGAAAATACCTTTAGAAACAAGTGGCGCTGGATCCCCCAAGCCCTGAAGGAAGCCGGCTGGCCTTGATGTGGCCTTGGGGTCCTTCCTGTCACTCTGATTCTTTGACCCCGAAACTTCAGGTTCCCGGAGCTTTTCTTCTGTGAGAGGCCTGTCTAAGGAAGAGGTGTTCAGTTGTGTTGGGGGGACTGGGCAGGCAGCAGGGTGCCAGAACCTTCACTCCTGGGTGCACCAGTTGTCGGGTGTCGGGACGCTGTGTCCACACTTAGGACTCCGTTTCCTCCTCTTTGGAGGTCAGCTTAACAGGTTCGTGTGCAGTGAACAGTGCTCAATAATGACTCTTGATTTTTTTTTACGAGATGGGGTCTTGCTGAGCTGCCCAGGCTGGCCTCAAACTTGCCACCCTCCTGCCTCCGACCCCTGAGAGCTGGGATTCCAGGGGTGCACCACCATGCCTGGCTAATGATGATACTTTTTGTTATTCTTCCGTCTCTGACTTGGTGAGGGACTGATTCCGTGAACTGTTTCTTTGAGAGAGCTTCCCTGGCTGTCTGCATGGAAATCTCATTCCTTCTTTTTTTTTATGGCTGAATAGTATTTCATTGTAGGTGGGATAACATACAGCTCTACAGACACAGATCTTGGTCTAGAATGAGACTTTTTCCAAGGAGCTGGTTCTCGAAGTGGCAGAAGCAGAGAAGTCCCCCGATCTGCCAAATGCAAACTTCTCCTGTCCCTCTTCTGTTCATATGAGTTACCTAGTCTAGGTATCTCCTAGGAGGGGCACCGTGCATGTCCTCTCTTCCTGGCTCCTCCCCCTGGCGCAACGTCCCCAAGGTCTGCCCACCATGGCCTGGCATGTCGACATTTCCTTGTCCGTGTGTGTGTGTGTGTGTGTGTGTGTGTGAATAATATTCTATTGAGGATGGACTACCTTTAGCTTATCCATTCCTCAGTCGACGGGCACTTGGCTATTTTCCTCCATTTAGCTATTTATTACTTCCCTTTTTAAAACATGAAATGTATTTTCAACTGATTCTTGTATGTAATTTTAGCACAAAAGCCTAGAAACTTCCTCCTTTTAGTGCTAAGACACAAAACTGTTGGCTCCATAGTGGAGGAAAAAGAGGAAACCCCTTTGGATCAGCCCAATCTCTTTATTATGACAGTGTCCACACTCAGGCTTGATGTTCCTCTGAAAGAGACCTTGGCACTCAGGCAGCACCGAGTCCCCCGAGTCTGGGCACTTGGGGCAGGACCACTGTGAACGGTCACCTCTGTGAAGCCGCCTTCACTCAGAAGTTCCTCTTTGCCTCAGTTGATGTCCGAGTCCTGAGCGGTGCGTGTCAGGTTCATTTAGAGTGGGGTTCTCCCCCCTCCTCTCATTCAAATCACCAGGGCCATGTGGAAGAGTACCCGGGCCCGAGCCCATCCCGGGATCCTGACTTGTGCTTCTGGGTTGGCTCTGTGCCCTGGACCTTCCCAGGTCCCCAGCCCAGTGGGCAGCCCTGGGTCAGACCACCCAGATGGAACGTCCCACAAGTGCAGCTACCTGTGGGTGGGCAGGGCTGTGTTTTCCCCCTTCTGGACTATCTGGATTTTTTTGAGGCTTACACAGGGCACCAAACAAGCATGAAAAGAAGTAATGGTTAACGCTGGGTCAGAAGTCCTTCAGATTTAGAGTACAGGCTGGCTCCCCTAGCCCTCCCCAAGAGCCAGTCCTTCGCCCCAGCAGGTGGATATGATGGTGCAGTATGGGAAGCAAGGGAGGAAGACGGGGTGGGCCCATCCTTGTAAAATATGACTAATGCTAAAACCGAGCGTCGGTCTGCTTTGTGTTGCTGTAACAAATTACCTGAGGCTGTGGCACCTGCTGCAGTGGGTGTTCTGTGGGTGATATCAAGTGCCCGAGGGAATCAACTTAGAAGGAGGCAACCTGTATTCTGGCTTGTTGTTTCAGAAGATTCAGCTCAGGGTCGGTTGCACGTGGCCTTGGGCCTGTGGCAGTACAGTATATAATAGCGGGAGCCCACAGTGGAGGAGGCTGCCCATCCCACAGGTGGCCAGGAAGCAAAAAGAGACAGATGGGAAGGGGCCAGGGTCCCCATCACCCCTTTAGGAGCACACCCCCAGTGACCAGGCCTCAGCACACGAGCCTGGGGGGGACGCTGCAGATCCACACTGCAGCAGCTCCCGTCCTGGTGGCTGGAAAGTCCAAACAGCATGGCACTGGCATCTGGCAAGAGTGCTCTGTCCTGCCTGGCAGAGAAGGGACATGTGTGCTGGCGGGGGAGCTGGCCTGGCCCTGTGGGAAGGGCATCAACCTTCACAGGCGCTGCCTTGTGATCGCATTGCTTCTCAAAGGTGCCACCACCTCGGTCCTGTTCCCTGGGGACCTAACTCACCTCCAGCACTAGAGACTTTAGGGGACACGCTCAAACCCCATCATGGGGCGTGTCACCAGTCAGCCAGCACGTGCTGCTGATGGCCGCCCAGGAGCCAGGGCCTGGACAGACCTGGGGGCCACACAGAGACCTGCCTTCCAGCTGCTCC